AATTTTTGCCAGTTAGCTTTATTAAGCCTCATAGACATTATGAAGCCTCATAGAGCTTGGCAGAAAATATAAGCAATTTTTGCAGTAATATATGCAAATCATATTCCAATGAGTGATGGATTCACTTAGAATGATAAAATTGATTTAATTCTTCATTACTTAGAACAAAGTCAAATAATCGGACTCACCATTTTATCTTTGAAGTATTTCAGTTCATTCCTATTTAACGTGAACCACCTCGTTTTCCAGCTCTGAAAAAAAAAAGTATTTACAAAAACTCACTCATGCATACGTAGCATACTGGCACGTCTGGACCATTAACAACGACTACAGTGTATCAAAAGGGAAATGCTTCAACAAAGAGGCAGGGGATCACTGGGCAAAGCCTGGCAGAGCTTCAGTTTTGTGAATTACTAACCTGCAACCAGCAACCCTATCAACCCAAGGCTTGGAAGGCTTGTTTTTCTCATACAATTTATTTTTTTTTTAGCAGAGACAGGGTGGGAAGGGGCAGGATATAGCAGGAGCATGGGGAAATGCCCTCAGAGCAGACTGCTGAGTGTGTCTGCAGTTCCATGGAAGTGGGAGGTTTTCCAGAGTGGTTCTTTGACGTTCGTCTCACCTTGATTATTGCTCCCTGCTTCACCAGATACCCCTCCTTCGTGCCTAGCTGCAGGAAAACAAGCACATTTCACAAATTCAGCAAGCGGTTAACCGGGTTCTGCTTCCCCTCGTTGCATGGAACTTGTGGGTGTCCGACAGGAACCTACCGAGGGGGCGTTGGGCACCAGGTCATCTTCTGTGCGTCCCGTCTGCATGGCCGTATGCACGCGGACTGACTCGTATATAGAGGGCTCCTCCACTTTGCGAGGGTACGGGTATTTCAACATGATGAGCGTACCTAAGACAGAGAGAATGAGAGAGAGCATAATAGAAATTAGACAGAGAAAGAAAGATGGATGACAGAGAAAGAATGAGAGAAAAGGAGAGAGGATTTACAGAGGGAGAGAGAGAGGGTGATGGAGAAGGGAGAAAGTAGAGGGAGAGAGAGACGAAGGAAAAAAGGAGGAAGAAGATGGATAGAGAAAGAAAGCCATAGAAAAGGGAGAAAGTAGATGGAAAGAGAGATGGAGGAAGGACAGATTAAAAGAATGAGACATGGAGGACATACCACAGCAGAGAGAAAGAATGAGTGAGCATGAAATGAAGCACATAAGGAGGGAGAGGGGAGGAAAGGGAGGAAGGGTAAGAACAAGATCAGTTTGATCAGATTTGAGTTTTGATTACTCAGACTTTGCTGAAATGCCATTGCAATGGTAAGGGGAAGTCATCTTGAGTAACAGGGATTCCCAGACTCAGAAGGGGGAGGGGGTACCTGTTTCGCTGCCTAGCAGTGGCTGGTTGGCAAAGTGCTTGATGAAGTCTCGTAGGGAGGGAAACTGGTTGAAGCCAAAGGCATAGCCATTGCCCTTCCGAATCACGTGGAAGTGTTTGACTGAATCCTTCGCGCTACACACACGGATGAAAAGAAATTAAATGGGTGATGCAGACCCAAACCAACGTACATCTCCAAAATATAGAATACCTGTCCTAGCAATAAACCACCTGTCAAAAGTAGCAAACTATTAACATCTTCCTCAAAATATAAATCACCTGTCCTATCCAACAAAGCAGCTGCCTAAAACATAAACTCCAACTTCAAAATCTAAAACACCTGTCCTAACTATAAACCGCCTTTCCAAGATAACAAATCATGTGCCTAAACAATGAATCACCTGACCAAAATAACAAGCCACCTGTCCAACTGTGGTTCAGTATTCCTCCCAGCACTAAAACCTCATAGTGCAGGGGAATACCTGTACACAGCCTCAGGTGAGTTATTTTCTCCCTCAGTTTCCTTGTTTCACTTTTATTTCATTAATGCCACTGTTCTATCGCATAGAAATGATCTGGCAAAACCAGAGTAATATCACAATATCAAAATGCTAACATGGAAGAAAAGGATTCCTCAGTTCTGCTTTGTCGGCTCCTGAGTTCAAAGACAGAGAGAGTGACAGCAGAAAAAAAATGTTTTTTACCCTCTTCTTCTTTACCCTCAAGGTAATAAAGTGAATAAGACTTTGGTCAATATCCTAATAATGGTTAATCTGCATTAGAGTGCTGAGATATGTCCTTGGAATCATTGTAATGCTGTGATGTAACATGGTGCTGAAGTGTCACTGTGGGGAACACCTTTTTGGCCGGAGTAAGGGCTCACCGGACGGAGAGGGCCAGGAAGTTGGGTCCCTCGTGGCTGTTTCTGAGAAGGTAGCTCCCGTCCCTCCCATTGGACAGAAGTAGGGCCTCTGCAGCATGTCGTGACAATTCATAATGGTACCACCTGTGAGGGTCAGGGAAAGGTCAGAGGTCAAACAAGATCATGGTGTACATCTGAGAGCTATGGTACTCAATTCTGTTATTTCCCAGCAATCATTCCCTCATAGAATAATGTTATGATTTCATAATATGAAGTAAATATTTTACCACAACTGTGTCCATCACCTTTAGATAGTTTACAGGAAGTTAAGCTTAAGTGTCAATATTCACGTGTAGGATCATGACTGAACTGCTAATGCTGTTCAGAACATTTCATCTCCTCATATTGAGAGCAAACAGCCCTGGAATCTTCTGGAAACTGTGGCTGTGACTGCACCCATGTGAACTGCATTCATCTCAGACATACATTAAATTGGACATTAACAGTTAGCTGCAAGCGCTTCTAGATCAGCTGGCTTTGTTTACCACAGCATGCGACTGAGGCAGGTTTCTCTCCCTCTCCCACACTCCAAATCTGTCTCCCAAATAACAAAAATTAGAGTCTGGCTCATTCCAATTCTGTCATAAATTCAGTATAACAACCAGTCAGGAAGCTCTGAGATTCTAGAAAAGAAGCCATCCTGCTTTCATCTCTACATATTGCATACAGGTATGTGTTAGAGACTGCACTAAAGCACTCTCCTGAAAGTATATATTATATATCCTTTGATATAAAGTGATACATACTAACACGTCTATACACACAAACCTACTACTATATCAGATAATAATCAATATGGGTGAATGGTTTTCTGTGATTAACACTGCACTGAAAAAGGCCAGACAAAATCTTTGGTTAAATAGATTTTTTTGATGTTTTTAAAGCTTTACTTGCTGGGGGGGGTGCGGTACTTTCCTTTGTTTTCATACTAAATGTAATTTGCACCCCGTTAGCATTAACAGAACTAGCAGAGACTGAAGACTTTCAGTTCTGTGGATACTGATCGGACATGCTGTACAACAAAAGGACTTCCACACAGTTACAAATCATAGGTAGTTCAGTAGTTTACATAGGTAGTTCATCTGCAGCTGACCACTGCTGTGATCAGTAGCCACATGGTAAGACACATATGTGCAATCCTCTCTATACAACACACACGTGCACACGTACGCACACATGCATGCGCATCAAACTGCTGGGGGTTTCCACTGGCGCCTTTTCTCTCTGTGGCTGGAGAACCAAAAACATACACTTGCCAAAGAGGAATCAGCATGCTTCCCGACTGCTTTAATGTTCTCTGTCCTTCCCATTGTCATGTGAAACTGCAGAGGAGCCCAGCATTGCAGTGCTACAGAACATGTTCTCAAACTTCCTCTTTCCCTGGAGCCGTGCAAAATCACATCAAAGCACTAGTCCTCTCCAACTCATGGCAAGACATCACTCTGAAAGTGGTAAAAATATTCACCCAATTTTCCAAACAATAGTAAGTGCACTTCTGGATCTCATCTCTGTAAGGGAATGCATTCAGAGGTGATTTAAATGACATGACGATAATATTGCTGTAACTGTCTACCAATCCTTTACATCACTTTTAAACACATGCAAAATTGACACTAAATATTCAGGTGTACAATCTACAACCTGACTACAATCAGCTGATTCTGTTCAGAACATCTGACTGCCTAAAATAATTTGGACACCAAACAGTCCTGGAATCTTCTGGAAATTGAATACAGTTACACAATCATCTCAGAGTCAAATATATTAAATTGGACAGTATTGTTTAGCTGTACATGTCTCTAGGCCAGCTGGATGTTTTATGCTTTTACATTTTAGATGCACTTACACAACAGGCAGGATCATCACCTACAAGTGATCCAGTTGCCATGACCCTGACTTTTGAAGGACCTGTCGTAAAAATCAGATTATAACAATACAGAATCACTGCGCTGCCTGTGACCCATAGGGAAAAAAGAGGGCCAAAGTTTGTAAGTTACACGCAGATTTGCTTCAGCCGTCATGCTTTGGAAGGTTTGTTATAGACTTAGTGAGTTGGTGACGTTGCCCAGGATTCTCCAGCAACTTCAGATCTGACAAGCTAAGTTCCTCTAAAAACCCCATTTAGTTTCCCTTTCGCAGTGTGTCAGCCCTGAGAAAGGCCTCATGCCCAGGGGACAAAGTGCTCAGCTCACAATCCAGGGAGTTGTGGGTATGGGTTCATGACGGGGTGCTACTGTTGTGCCTTTACTGTGCAGAAGGAGACTTTCCCTTTTTGGCTTTCCCCTTTATACAATCCTAATTTGGGAATGGCAGTTGTATACCAGTATACAACCCTAATTTGGGAATGGCAGCTGTATACCAGTATACAACCCTAATTTGGGAATGGCAACTGTATACCAGACTTGTCTCCTCTCATCTACCTCTGCACTCCTGCAGGAGCACTGAGGTGAGATGAATGCAATCCTCCTACACACTTGCACAGAGCTAAAGGCTATTTTTCACACTATAAGCCAGACAGCCCACTGCAGTCATGTGGCTACTTGCTGGAGCATAGGCACTTCTCTGTGACTCGCTGGCACCTGATGAATTGCAGGATGCTTAAGAGTGGTGAGATGAGGAACTCGTGCTGACATAGCCACCCCTGTCCCCAGAGGACCGAAGCCATTTTGTTCCACTGCTCTGCACTCCCGGTCATTGTCCGCTGCAGGCACGGCTGGAATTGAACCAGAGCTGTAGAGCTCAACTTGCCCTAAAGGCAAGCACCATGACCACTAAGATACTTAGGAGCCCAGGACTTTTTGGTAAGCCACTAATAATCATCATTGAAGATGGGCACGAGTAAGGGTACCAACATTGCCTTTTTACATGACCATATAAGCACAGCCCATGAACTTTGTCCAACACATAACTGGCTAACAATGTCACAATACATTCACCACTGTCAGAAATAGGACTATTTTAACCCTGTATCTGAACTAACAAAAGGTCTGAGGAAGGAAACAGCAGAGGCCTGCTCCAGGAAAGATAACACAAAGCACTGACAGGCCTATAACTGTGGACAATGTCACATGACTGACAAGAGGGTCACAAATGCTGCTCCTAAAAGAGTAACAAAAAACAATCTTTTAAGTGTAGGTCTGTGTCTCAACTCCATGTCACAAACAGAAGCCTGCATTGAAAGGAAATCAGTGACATATGTGATCGGATGTAATTGCATTGTCTGAATTAAGACAGTTATCATACTGTTATAATATAAGCATCTGTGATTATCTCCATGGAGCTACAGACTCTATCCTGTTTTTTGTTTTGCTGGAACTTTCTGTGTCCTTTGATATCATAGATCAGATCTTGTTACATCTCCTGCAGTAACACAGTGGCTTGTCTGCACATCCTAGCTTTCCTCTCACTCACTCTTTCTTCCATCTGATCTCCTCAGAGGTCAGCATAAAGAGCTCTCTGGTTTGGTGTTCCACAGGGCTCCATTCTGGGAGTGTTTCTCAGCTTTTATATTTTTTACAGCTGGATGATATCATCATGTGGTATACTTTATGTTCTACAATCTGTGTCATTTCCAACTAAATCTGAAATCGCAGCATCTAAGTGCAAAAATAAATGAAGCTAAACCCTGACAAAACCAAGAAACCTCAACATTTGTGGGATACCTGGAATAACTTTCATGGGAAACCAAATTCCATCTAATCCCCATGTCAAAAATCTGGGTGTGATTCTTGCTCGATACTCATCTGAAATCATTGACCTGGACAGCCTTTTGTCATTAGAGAAATATTGAAAAACTTGGCCCATGTCCTGTGAGCAGGAGAGACCTTCCTTTATAATTTCTTGTCTGGCCAGTAGTAAATTTTTGTTTACTGCATTAAGAGTGGCAGTTGCCAGGTTGACTCACACCTGCATGTCTCAACACAGTTGAAAACTCGCATGTCTTAAGATTGCTGAATTGGCTGCAGGTAAACACCTTATTCATTAAAAAGTCAGAATTCCACCTCTTCACTGGACAAGGGCCTGAGTTAAAACAATTATTATTTGATTTTAAGTGTGCTTGTGTGTGTGTGCGCTTGTTTGTGTGTGTGTGTGTGTGTAAATACATGTGATAATATACCCCTCTTCAAAAGATTAAATATCTACACTTGAAACAGTAATCTCTGTTTTTAAGATCTGATCTGACCTGTTTTTCACTTACCAGACACTGTGGGACCATATGAAACAGAGCGTGGGTGCTCGTAATTTCACACCTATAGACTTCCCTTCTGAGGAACAGCCTTGTGTGCCCTAGGGATCGACTGCTTTACATGTCCGAGAGCAAACACCCTCAATGTGCAGTGCGTGAGCACAAACAGACCGACAGACAGATGCACCTGCCTCCGGTGGATGTGGCAGTTGTCTCTCATAAACCCCTGATGGACTCTGACAGTCACCAGAGTAACCTGGCAGGATTAAGCTTTATTGTAAAGCGCATTGGCCAAGCTGTGAACTGTTTTCGACCACAGATCAAAAAAGAGCAACCATTCTTTGCCATAAAGAACAAACGCCCACACGGGTGCCCAGGGTCGGTTATGGCCCAAAATGTTAGAACCAATAACTGCAGAATTTGCTGGTACTGTACGGACAATTCATCCTTTATGGCACTGAGTAGACACAGCTTTATGAAAAGCAAACAAGAACACACTGATAGTCAGTGATATGGATGCAAGCCACACTGCTTTGCTAAAATGGTGCATGATTTTTTGGAATAAAGAACTGTGGGTAAAATACATATTCGTCCTTTGCATTTCCATTGGAAGGCAGATGCATGCTGAATGAAATGAGGTTTCTTCACTGGTCAAGCCTAAATCATTCCACTATTTAACACACATATTTTTTCATACCACTAACACTCAAATGCTTGTGGTCCCCAAGAAAAATAAACATGCGTAGCTTCTCAGATCAAGCCTGTATTCAGCTCAGCGTACATTCTCCAGGAGGGCGAGGACACGTAGGTCACTAGTGAAGAGTGAAAACACATCTGTTTTGCAAACAGAAGACTGGCATCAGGTACTTTATCTTGCAAGGTCATTATGAAACCCTGAAGCTGACAGAGATGCCAACTTGAGGGCATTTAAAGCATTCCTCATTTGGCATATTTCAAATTTGTGTCAGATATTTTTTGATCTTCCCACACTTGTAGCGAGGTTCATGTTCAAAATGGTGTTTTCAGAAAAAATGTATCAAAAAATATTATTATTGAAGTGTTCTAAAATGTGAACACAACAAAACAACACTGTTTTGATTTAAAGCTGTTAAAGCATTCCTGTTTTTAATATTTAAAAAATGTCCATATTATAAATAAAAGTCTATTATTACCTCAAATTTGAGACAACAAAATAATGGTGTTGTATATAGGCTGGAGCAGGTCACAGACTGGAGAAAAGCCTCCAGTCTCACAGTTTAGATCAGTGAGTTCAGATCACAGAATTGAGCAAAGCCTTGGAATGTAACAGTTTAGATCACAGATAAAAGGAATGGACGGTTACCATTACTTTTGTGTTATCGGACAAGCAAAACAGTTGAGCTTTCTGTGCACAACTCCAAGTGGAAGTGAAACTACATGACATGTTATTTTTTGCTCCAATTGAAAGTATGTGTGTGGGGGGGCATTTTTGAGAAGAAGCCAAAGTAAATGAAACACTGAGAAAAAGCTGCTAACCAGAGAAATTCAAACAAGAGAGATTTGAACTGTGAATTTAATAATACTGGTCTCAGCACTGAAACGGTTGCATTACACTCTGTATTTAATGAGTACAGCTGAATACAGTTCCTAACCAACAGAGCATTAAAGATTGCATTGGCTGATCTGTCAAGATGTGAAATGTTTGCCACATGAAAGCATGTCCCCAAAGTATAGACTAGTTGACAGGCAGTCGTGAGTTATGAGCCAAAATGGCACATCGACGTCGTGTCTGCAGTATTGGACGGCTTTTGAAATTATTTTCAGGATTTCAGTTTCAAAATATATTTCAAAATTCCATCGCCGACATGCAAAATAATCTTCCAGACTTCGCTAATTGGAAAGGCCCGTTGTTGACAGATGACTGCCCCGCTTAACGTTTTTCAACCCTCGAATAATTCAGCCACGACTGTTTTTCTTGATGAACAAGGACCTAAGATTTCTTCGTGTGTCTATAACGTCACATGTCAACAGAACATTTGAAGTAATCTTACTCGAGCGAAACAGAGATTTTACGTTACTTATCAGGCAAGAAAAACTGTATTCTGACAGTAGGATAGACTCAGTTATACTTGTAGCTTTACGGTTTAGACTGGGATAAAAATATAGATTTGCATATATAGTTTGCATTGTGTTATAAATTCAAGATCAATGCGTAGATAATAATAATAATAATACAATAATAATAACAAAAAGAAACATGACAAACCATATGTCTACACACACACGTCGTGCGATTTAAACACACATTCAAGCAGACATTGTAGCACAGAACAGGTCGTTGAGGACACCAGTCCTACCCTTACCCTAATGATTCCAGCTCGTCCGCAAGCTCTCTGCTCGAATAATCACTGTACAGAGAACTCCTGTCACTCATGGTGCGAAACTGGGCCGGAATGCACCTGACTCATCCACCTGCGGCAGACTTTTGCGGAACCGGCTAGATGTTGCTTTCCGTGCGGGATCAACGCTGAAAACGCAAGACAACCTCAAAAAAACGCCCGTACAAACTGTTACTGCAACAAAAAAGGAAGTACGTGGGAGCAGTCACGCCTACAATGAAGTACAATAATCCAGTTAATAGGCTCCGTTAATTCAAGACCACTCTGATCGAAAGGGATGTCAGTATTGATTTTAAGCAGGTGTTATTAATATACTTTAAGCAGGTATTTACATGCTGAAGAAATTCCCTAATGACACATAGACCTAGAACACGCCACTACTAATAATAATGGATTGCTGATAGCAATGGATTATTAATTATAATAACTGTATACTTATAATTAGTAATCCATTGCTATTCATAAGCAGTTATGATTAATCAGTAAAACGGGGCATTTTGAGGGAGTAAGCAAAAATAAATGAAAATTAACAAAACAATGATTAACAAAAACTCGGTTTATTTAGCATGTATTTCTCGAGAGGAGAATAATACCAGAGGATTTCACCCAGTGTAGTGCACAGAAAAAGCGTGAGGTCTGGCAGATAACCTTACATATTAAGCGCAAAATAGCAAGCCACGATCATTTACCAATTGGTAGAATCAGAAGTAATGCAATGCTTTCAATCTATACTCCCTGGACACAGCGATGTCCAAAGAGACCTTAAATTCAACATAATAAGGAATTGGGATGCCAGGTATGCCGTCCGACAAATTACGTGATTGGCCAGGCGTAACTCATACTTCTACACAAACGAGATTCAGGACGTTTTAAAGTTTCCAACAGAAGCAACTACAGTGAAGTTGAGGCCTTACTCATTACAGACTTTTCTACCATCTAACGCCATGTAAGATCACAGAATTCTCTCATAATCTCATATGCCACACAATACGCACCCAAATTGGCACCATCTGTAATTTCATCCTCAGTCATTATCGTCCTAATTAGCTCTCACGGAAACTACGCACATACATTTACTAAGGAAAGAGTGCAAAATTTCCAACCAGTTCCTAAATGACTATGAGAGAGAAAGCACGAGCAAATCTTTATCTGGTTGGTATACGGTTGGGAAAACTACACTAATATGCGGGGCTGTAACATGCACACAATTCAGTAGCCTATT